GCTAGGTAATACATGGATATGATGTATGATAGAGGTATCAACTTTGATAGAGAATATCATAAGGATATCAGCCATAGAGATGGATATTACAAAAGTATCAATAATATAGAACGTCATTATATGAATATCAACCATGCAGGCAGATATTACAAAATATTGAAACCTCATGGAAGATATCACAAGGATATTAATCATGCAGAAAGTATAATTGAGATATTAAAACTGATATTTAACTAATTCTGGATAATTTGCTCAATTATAGACAAAACCAAGGATGTATAGTACATCTACATTATTATAATGACACAACTGTCCACCAGTGCCCAGTAGAAAATCATAAATTAGGATCCATATGCAGTATCTACACCGCACCTTCATGAGGTTCACAGCCATCATTACTGAAAATCCCTACATGTAAGTGAGAAGTCTCAAGAATCTTGCATGATGATGTCAGGGTATATTTTTTGCCAAAGATCTTGACAGTACTAATGTCATGAGATGTTCACACTTCTAATATCAACGACAAGTGAGTGATCATTTTCGAGCATCCACATACCGTCTTGGTGGAGTCTTGAGTTTGATTTAGAGGATAAGAAATGCTCGGTGTCTATATACGAGACAAAACTTCAGGAATAGATTTGGAGACAATGGTTCATATACTAAATAGAACAGTCAGATTATGCAAGGTTTTATGGAATACAGTGTGAAGAGCGGCATTCATAAGAGACGATTTTACAGAGGATAGTAGCAGTATAAATTCGTTTCATATTGCACTGGTTGGTAGGCAGATAACTTTGCGGATTTCATGAGAAAACTTTGAATATGCAGTGGCCATTACCACTACGTTGAGCCGACGACTAGAAGAATGACATGCAAAAGTTTACGTGAGGTCGTAAATATGTTAATAACGTATGATTACCTCTCACCTCTAATTTTAAATAATCCTAAAATCAACACTTAATTTCTTTATATATTTAATAACATCACTTCAATCTACAACTTTGATGTAAAAATTAATTATTTTATATTATAATTATATATTATGATCAAAAAAATCAAATGATTTTGTGAGAGATCACAACTCTTGTTTCATTGATTATATCAAATCATCTTTGACCCCAACACCACCCTCACCTTCAAAGTCTCTCCCAAGTCTCCCCAAAGAGATTCTTCAATCTTTCTAGAATGATCAACAAAAGAGTACCACTAAAGTCTTCTCAAAAAAATTCTTCAATCTTTTTAGAATAGCCAACAAAAGAGTACCACTAAATACCACTAAAGAGATTTTTAATATCACCTCAAACATGGAGAAGCTTCGCACACTACTTTATGATTGGCAACTCCTAATAAAGATGCAATATTTAGGTATAGTTGATAAAATATCAGCCACTCTCCTAACCATTGCTTATTAGCACAACTCTTAATCCTCTTAACCCAATTGAATGTTTACTTAGACGGTTAACAATAAAAAAAATTAGAAACAACCAAAAAATCCACATCTAACTTCTACAATTGCTTCTTAGTTCTAGGTGAAAATTGCCTAAGTGCCAAGGCAACACAATCAAATTGAGAATCTAAGTATTCATTTGGCGCATGCAAAGTCACCTCAACCTAGACACTCTACTTCATTACTTAAACAAATCCCTGGCTGAATTGGGGTGCTTAATGGATTAGAATTCAACATATTAAATTCATTAAGTTTATTTGTTAAGTATTTGGCTTAATAGAGGATGATCCATCCTTCTTTTTGATTTCTTAATATGGCATTGCCTAAAGTATAATTGATTTTTCTTTCATTGGACATGTCAAATTCTTGCTGGAGAATGTCTTTGACTTGTTGAATTAAAGGAAGTTTGTTGCTCACAAGAATATAGTCATCAACATAGACTGTAATTATGGTAAAATCTTGATTATTTTTTCTTTTGATATATATATGTTTGCATCTGATTTGAGATGTTGGTATTTGTGAAGGATTAAGTATTGATCTAATTGTTGATACCATGCTCTAAATGATTGTTTAAGACCATATAGGGATTTATTTAATTTACATACCTTATTAATATGTATAGAAGGTAATCCTTTAGGAATAGTCATATAGATGTCTTCTTTTATAAAACCATTTAAAAAGATTGTTTTAATATCTAATTGATATATTTCCAGATTATGTTGAGTGGTTAAAGCAAGAAGAACTCTGATAGAGCTAAGTTTGACTATAAGAAGGTATGTCTCTGTATAATCAATACCTTGAACTTGGGTGAAATCTCTAGCAACTAGCCTTGCTTTATATTTGTCAACACTTCCATCAATTTTAATTTTGATTTTAAAAATCCACTTTGAACTGATTGATTTTCGATTAGGAGGTAAATTTGTCATGTGCCATATATTCTTCTTGTTTAAAGATGTAATTTCAGCATTGATTGATTGTTGCCATTCTTGAGCATCAACCCTCTCTATTGCTTCTTGAATGGAGTTCGGAGCTTCTATGAGAGTAGAAAGAAGGTGGGCTTGGTGATGTTGATTATATTGTCATTTATATTTCTTTCTACCTTGTATAGACTCCAACAATCTTGTGGTTGGTTGAATAATTCTTGTTGGTTTAGAATTAGTAAGAAGATTTGGAGCCCTCAATATGGAATGTACTTCATCATTTAGAAGAGGTAAGATCTCTTGATCATTTGGTAATGATAGTTGAGAAAAGTCTTCTATGACATCAATGTGAGAAGGAGGTTGTTCTCCCACATTTGAAGGAATACTATATATTGGTGATTGATCAAATACATGTATTTCTTATAGTAGTGACATTGATGTGGAAGACATGCCTTGAAAAAAAGGGAGGATTTGCTAATTGGTCCTTTTAGTTATTGAAGGGTGTTTTAATAATTCGAAATCTAGTAAGAGTTCTTCATTGTCCTTTTGCAAGTATGGAGTTGTTTGTGGATCATGTAGATTCTCATTGAAGAGAACATCTCTTGAAATAAGAATTTTCTAACTTTGTATATTCATAAGTTTATAGGCTTTAGATTCTTCACTATAGCCTAGAAAGATAGCCTCTTGTGAATGAGAGTTTAACTTCTTTCTTGTTTCTTTAGGAATGAATACATGAGCTTTGCAACCAAATATTTTAAAGTAGGATAAATTTGGTTATCGTTTATACCATAATTCAAATGGTGTTTTGGTAACTTGTACAGATTTTGTAGGTCTCCTATTTTGGAAGTAATTTACTATTTGGAATGCTTCACCTCAAAAAGTTTTAACTAAGTTTGAATAGGATAGCATTGCAAGTATTGCTCCTATTAATGTTGTATTTTTTCTTTTAGAAATACTATTTTGTTATGGTGTATAAGCCGCAATATATTCTTGTTTAATGCCTTCTTTGTTACAAAAATCTTTAAAATCATTGGATGTATATTCACCTCCACAATCAAATCTTAAGGTTTTAAGATCCATGTTGAAAACATCATTATTATTAATATAATAAATAAATATATATATATATATATATATATATATATTGTATGTACCACTATGACATCAAGAGTCACAACTTTTAATGTAAGGTCAATATAAAGTAGATAGTATTTTACACAGGAAACAAATGTATTATACATAATAATTCTCCCAATACTCCCACTAGTACACTAATCTTCATCTTCGAATTGGATTTCATCTATTATAAAAGTTCATCCATTTTGAGAAATATGTATGAAAAATATAGGGTTTCAATCTCCTTTTTGGATATTGCGTTGATGTAAAGCTCTCTCACAACTCTCCCACTACTTCTTCAAATCTGAGAAGGTATGTATTTCGTTGTTGATTTTGAACTGTTGTTAGATTGTGTTTCATGATTGATTCGCACACACTCTTTTTTTGTTCTAAAGTTGTTTTCGATGTTATTGTTAGAAGTGCTACTGATATTAAAGATTGATGCTGTCGTAAAGATCAGCTCCGCTGCTTGCATATACATTGATAAGAGGTCAGTTGTCGATGTAGGCACTTTAACGAGCTTTGTGTTGGGATTGATTGCCGATGCAGGGTCGGCCATGGCGGGCTCCGCAGTTGCAGTGGAGTGGACCATGGTAGGCTCCACTATTGCTATGGCGAGCTCTGTTGTTGCTATGGCGAGCTCTATTGTTGCTATGGCGAGCTTCGCTACTGCAATGGTGTCAATCTGTATATTTTGATATTTCATGGATTTGGAGTGAAGTGGCTTACTGTATATTCTTCCACTCCATGATATATCAAAATATGGTTGTTGTAGAAGATTTGGTGATTTTGAGTAGACCAACAATGCTTAAATTGTTGTAGAATAAGATTCTTGTGATGAATTGAGAGGAATAGGATACATGCCTAGTTGAGATAGGCATTGAAAATGTTTCTCTTTGGAAAGAGACTTTGTAAATACATCTGTTGTCATATGTGTCGTTGGCACATATTGTAATTTAATTTCCTTGACAAGTATCTTTTCTTTTGTGAAATGGTATTGTGTATCCATACGTTTGCTTTTAGAGCAATATTTTGGATTTTCATTAAAAGCAATTCTACATTGACTATCTAAGTATATAATGGTTGGTGCAAGAAATCCAAATTCATATAATAATTTTTTCAACCATGTGGCTACAGTGGTTGCTTTTATTAAGGCCATGTATTCTAATTCTGTGGATAACAAAACAATAGATTATTATTTCTTACCACCCCAAGAAATAATTCCTCCAACTAGTAAGAAGCAAAAGCCAAAAATGGAGCGATGGATGTCCTTATCACCTACCCAATCAATATCAAAATAACCATGGAAAATATCACCTTGAGGTAAGTGTTGATATTTTATTCCAAAAAATAATATACCTTTTATATATTTTATAATTCTTTTTAAAGTTTGAATATGTGTAGATCTTGATTTAAAAAGATATTATGCTAAACTACTGATAACATAAATACAATTGATTAGATCAATACTTAATCCTATACAAATACCAACGTCTTAAAGATAAAAGGCAAACATATACATCAAAAAAGAACATAATCAAGATTTTACCATAATTACAGTCCATATTGATGACTATATTCTTGTCAACAATAAACTTCCTTAAATTCAACAAATCAAAAACATTCTCCAACAAGAATTTGACATGTTCGATGAAGGAAAAATCCATTATACTTTATGCAATTTCATTTTAAGAAATTGAAAAGAAGGATGGGTCATCCTTCATCAAACCAAATATTTAACAAATAAACTTACTGAATTCAATATGTTGACTTCCAATCCATTAGGCACCCCAATTAAGCCAAGGATTCGTTTAAGTAATGAAAACCATATTACTTTATCTGATTATCTCTATTCTCAAGTTGTTGGCAATTTAATGCATGCCATTGTTAATTCTAGACCCGATTGTGTTTATGCTATCAACAATTTAGCACAATATCTCTCTAAATCAAAACCTATACATATTCAAACTTTGAAAAGAACTATGAGATATATAAAAAGCACATTATCCTTTAGAATAAAATATCAACACTTACCTCAAGGTGATATTCTCCATGATTATTTTGATGCTGACTGAGCAAGTGATAAGGACACTCGTCGCTCCACCTCTGGCTTTTAAAGTCCACACCTATTGTGCTGATGTGCAAGTAGTCTACAAATCAGAGCTGAAGGCAACTCCTTCCAACACACTGGAATCTCCGATAGACGACAACATCTCCTATCGACCACAATGGCTTGAAAAGGTAATCAAATTCGAGATTCATGGCTATCTCCCTACCTTCAACCAAACTCCTGCCACGCTCCTGCCACCCCGATCTGCACCCCACTTCAGCAAGGAACACAACGCCCGATCCGAGATTTAGGGTTTAGGGTTTAGGATTCCGATCCTGCCCTTAGGAACTCCAAAACCACTCCAAGGCATCACCAAACTAAAATACAACTAAATTGGCAACCTTTCAATTCAACTTCACCGGCCTTCCGAGAGGTGGAGTAGATGGGCTGATCCTCCTAGGCTTAGACTAAATATTTCGAATAAAAAGTTTAAAAACAGAAAAAAAAAAACAAACAAACAAACAAACAAACAAAACAAAACAAAACAAAATCGAATTATATCTTTCTTTTATACAAAACCTCGCACGCCAAACGACCCACTCCATTCATTATCACCAAGGCGCTCACTTTCCGAACCAGATCAATCCAGTTCGCAAAACACCGGCGAACAGAAAAACGAAATGTTCCCCCAATCTGCAGACTCGTTCCGTGAGAAAACCGCCGCAAGGAGTTGCTGGTCGGCAGGAAGAGACATACCCCGACGCTTTTTTACTCGGCAAAGACGCCCTGCATCACCACTTGAGAGTGGCTAGTAGTAGGCTTATGAGCCCAACTCTTAACCCAGTTGAATGTCTGCTTCGCCCGTTAACGACAAAATAACCATGGCCTGGAACTCATATGGCAAGACCTGTAAGAGATCAGGTCTGCACGATGGAACACACAATCACGATCGATCAGTAAATCACGGTCCAGTACACAGAAATGGCAAGGAATTGAACACATAATGAAATGAAAACACAAACCAGTATTTGGACCGTGCTATAACCCATAATTCGGACCACAAAACTAAGCAATAAGACACCGTTGAGTTTAAAATGCTTGACAACTCGAAGATCTTAGCAATGAAAAGCCATGATTTTGTAGTGCTCAATTCATTTCACCATTTCAAAAACTTCACATGATACCGAACTCGGGAAAAAATAGAATGTATGTCGAACTGCTGGTTTTCACTTCCAGGCTAGTACGAGTTTGGTTTGACAAACAACAACGCTTCATGTCATTCACCTAGAATACACAGCCTCGATGCCGAATATGGGTTATTTCATCGAAATAATAGTGCCAACAATACAAAACCGGGAGAAACCGCAAAAACATCCATTATGAACACACGATTCACCAGTCTGCATACAGCGCACACTGGGAAGACTAAACAAACCTGAACTCGTTTCAAGTGTTTGGACCCTCATTTACATTAATCACGAGACCCTTCTTCTGCTCCGCTACTACATCAGCAAATTGAAACGATAATAGATATGTCATTCAGAACCAATGAGATATGCAAAAAAGTGTATCACATACTGAGGTACTATCTCTCCCATCTTGTACTCTTTGCATTGAAGGTTCTAACATCGATCTCTACTCCAATTTCACAATCACGTAATGGCTTCTACCCACACAAAGCCACACATCACTACAGCCGCACCGCATGCCTACTACCACATTTTCCAGCATTGAGCGATAAGAAATCGAGCAGCCAAAACCCAGTACACTTGACCACTAAACGTAGCCTAGCCAATCCATCCTACAAAAGGACGAAAATCACGACAACAAACTAGAAAGATTTCAGTTCCACACACCAACACACCAGAGTTCAACACCGCATCGACCATACCGACTAACCAAGTCTATGTAAGTATGAGCAGCAAGATCGAACCCACCGTCAAACGAGTCCAGCTCAGCTCGACGTCCCAAATTCCTTCAATCGCCCAGACCGACATAACACACAAACTGAGAAACGTTGTGACCCAGAAAAAACCAAAACCCTCGGTAGACAACTCCCCAATTTCCGAAAATCAGTCAGGAATTCGAGCAACATACCTGAAATCGCAAAACGGCTGCGAACCCACAAATCTCAGAAAGCACGAGGGGTCAATCAACACAAACACGAGCGAGATAGAATCGCAAGGCCGAGTCAGCGAGTGATCCAGAGAGCTTGCGTGAGAGGGCTGCAAAGACAAAGGTTCGTCGGAGAGCCACTGGGGCACGCGCTTGAGTCGCCGTCACCACGTGTCGATTTTATCGATTCTGTTGCGTAATGGATGCCGAGATCGGCCACAACGGTGCATAAAAAAATTGCCGAGACCACAAACTAAGGAACGAAAACAGCACAATGAAGACCTCTTCTCGTTGCGGAAAACTCCAGTTCCGCCAGAAGCTTCGCTTGGGGTCTCATGCCTTTCATGACGTGGCTTGGGTTGATTTTTATCTACTGTTGCCAGGACAAAAAAAACAAACAGAGGATTACAAATATTAACACACTTATTGGTACTCTAGAAAAACCTTTTTCTCTACTAAATAGAAGGATGACCTTTGTTTTACTTACTGATGACAGATGATGATTTCCAATTGCAGGAAAACTATGTTGACTTTTGGAAAAGGAGACAAATCAAAAACATGTGGTGAATTATTCACAAATTTTGTGTATCTTTTGTGTAAGTCTGAAGAGTATTGCACAGGCTTTCAACCATCCCTTCTAATCGCATCATGTTAATATAGTCCACTACTGGATGAAGCTTTTGAATCTACTCTCCTGCATGTTCAGTGATGGACTCTGTTGATCACCTCAACAATAAAGACATTAATGAAGTGAAGATACAATACTTTGTTTGATCATTAATGTCACAAGTTTCAAAAAAGGAATCAGAAATTTGACTTGTGGTTTTTAATGGATTTTGCCAAATGGAGGTTTGGCTGAGGATTCACCTGTACTTTTGCATCCTCAGCCAAGTTTCACTTCTGCAAAGTTGTAGTTCTAAGTGAAACCTACAACTTCACTTCTTGCATGGCTTCCATCACTTCTTCATTTACATTATGTGTTACTTCCCTCATATTTTCCATCAATCCCATGCCCTCATTTTTGTGTTCAACAGCACCATTGGACTCCTGTTTTGAGTCAGCCATGCTCACATCCTGCAGATCCTCATGATCTATAGTGTGCTTGTGAACAGTCAACTTCACTATTGCCACAGAATGGGTGAGCATCTTGCTCACATTCTCCATTAGTGTCTGCTTCTAATCTTCACCATCATCCTCATCAGCATTTCTAGATTCATTATCACACGCAAGTGAGTTAGAGTTCATGGAAGAGGATTCTATCACATTGATGTGATTGCCAATCACACCCTTAACAACTTGTACAGAATGTGACATTGCTTCAAGAATGGTCCTCTTATGATCTACTATGCCATCTGGAATATTTTCTTTATCATTGTTGCTATGTTCAACTGGGTCAGCAGCACAAAGCATTAATTTTGTAGCTGAGCTCAATTCATTAGCTATAATATATATATATATATATATATATTAAATTTGTGCTTGAGTTCTTCCCACATAATTTGGTCTTTATCAACCTTTTTCATGAAGTACATGTATTTCAATAGAACGCCTACATTTTTTAAACAAGTTCATTTTCCAATATGTGCCTAAAACTTTTTAATATATCAATATAGAATTTTTTTTATCTCATAATTTATATATATATATATATATATATAGCCTCATTTGTTTGTTTTGATTCTTTCTAAAATGAAGTTCCTTCATCTCTTCTTTTAAACCACATAATATTTTTGCTTGGCATAGAAATCTATGATTCTATCCTATGAAATTCTTCTAAAAAATATGCAACGTTGTCATAGACTTTCTATGGTCTTAGCCATCTTCATGCAAAATTTCTAATTGTATTATGTTTAGTTTGTTTAGTTACATTAAGAACTTTATGGCTAGGTTCTTGTATATTATTATTTTACAAAAAACTTCTGTTACCTTATGGATTTGTTTATTTATTTTTAACATGTATTTTTTTAAGATCTAAAAATCTAATAGTTTCTATCTTAATTTTATTAAATCTTGCTGCATCTATTTTATTTTCCCATGAAAACTATGCTAAATAATTTTAAATATTGTTGATACAAAAACTTAAACTTGCAAATATAGAAATTATAGATAAATGACCCTTATCTTTAAATACGCTATTTATTAAATCCTGTTGATATAAAAAGTTGCAGAAGGCCTTAAAAGTCTACTTGTATTTAACATTATAAAATCTCCAATTAATCTTGTTATTTTCAAATTTGTCTTGGTTTAAAACGGTATAAAATTAGATATATTGGATACTTTTTTAATATTAGATTTCTTCTTGATTTATCTAAAAATAAAATAAAAGTAAGATTGGTGTGTTATGACTCAAAAAAGATAGTTATTTGATTAAAAAAACATTTAACAAACAAATCTAAACATTTTGTAATGATTAACCATACTGAGCATTCATGTAATAATACAACTTAGTATGTTGGAAGCATGTTTAGCTAAATTTGGCATAATTTTCACAGATATTTCCCAAATAAAGATACAAAAGAACCCATTAAAGAACCATAACTCTATAAATAATGTCTATTCAACTAATCATTGCATTAATTTTTCTTAATACTCAGTTTTTTTAATCTTCCAATACATTTTGGTCACAATGACTTCAAAATCATTGATAACATGTTGTGTGACCAAGACTCACTTTTTCCATCAAGCTTTTCTCATACAATTGAATTCTATACATTTGTGAGGTGTTTGTGCATGTAAATACCCTCAAAAAGACAGCAAAAGAAACCACAAAGTTGTACAAGACGGCCACAGCAACAAGGAACGAACGGAGAATAAATTCTGGGAAGAAACGAACAAAGACATCCATCCATCCACGTATTCATCCACAGCCAGCCACCCATTTATTCATCAACAGTTACATCCATATATGGGATGAAATATCCCCGGAAGGCGAAGAACGAACGTGGAAAGCTGAGTTGCGGCATCCAATGGAGCAAAGCACAGGCGAGGAAGGCTTCTCATCGTCGCCGTTGTGGGGCGCAATCGCGTTGGCTTGCGATCGATCCACAGCCCAAAACCTCCGATCGTCCCCACGCGCAAAAGGTGCGCAAAAGCAGCAATTGCTGGTGCCTACTCACTATCGTCGATGCCACTTTTTGCTACTCGGCATTCTGACTTGTGGGTTTGCTTCTTGGTTTGTTTTGCAAAAGATCTCTCTCTCTCTCTTAGTCTCATTCTCATTCTGGAGCTTCTTCTAGAGGGGATCCTAGCGCTCATTCGCCATGGCCGTAATTTTTTGATGCTTCCCCGCTCTCGGAACCATTCCCCGTCCCCATATGCAGCCAGGGTACTACTTGCCCGCACTTGCGCCCACATGCCAGCGTTCTAGCGGTTTCTGCAGCGCGGAAACTGTCTCTGAATGGGAACCGCACGAGTGCCATGAGTTTGTTTTCAGTGCGGGAGCCAGGGGTTGAGTTTTCGAGTTGTTGGGTTACCGGTGGATTACACCATGAGCGCGTGGGCACTGCATGCGAAGCGGAAGGAGCCTGAAGAGGCGGTTGTGGAGTTGTTGCGCAATGTGAGCTTGTCGCCCCCGAAGAGAGTACGAGTCACGGTACGGGTGCATAGGCTTCGTACTATGGTGTTTGTTTTGGTTGTTCATGAGATTCCGAATTCCTGCTCTTGTGCGTTCGTGTTGTTCTCGTATGGGTTGATTCTTTTTTTTTTGGGTTCCATCATGGGTTTTCTCAAGATGTCCACTCGGCTGGATTTTGTTTTGCGTGGAAAGATATTGGACCATGTCGAATATTTAGGTCCCTTACGTTGAATTTTAGTGCTGGTTCGACGTGCTTGTCCTTTCTTGCAGTTACGCTGTAGTTGGTCTTGTATACGTCTGTGGTCGTGTAGTTAGCCTTGGTTTCATTCTTTCTTGGTAGATGTATGTTAGGTTTTGTTTTGAAGTAAACTTCAACCATCTTCTGGACTATTGCTTGTTTGTAAATAATTTACTGCTTACTTCACCATGCTTATTTACTTTTGTGGTTGAGTTATGTATTTTTTTATTCAAATTGTTCTTGTCTTTGTGCTTTTCATTGTGCTGAGTTTGTGAAAATCTTCAGCTATCTGATTGATGACGATGAGTGTGCACATCACATTGTATGTACCAGTGTTCCTTTTTGGGAGTAGATAGTATTGCCCTGAATAGGGGGGAGGGTTTACAATTGTTCCTCTCTTATGGATCTTGGAGCTGAATTTTGCATCAGTGTTGTCCCGGTAGTGTGCCTTGCCAATTTTACTTGCTCTTTTTCGAGCTACTCTGTCGAGGTTATTTGCTAGTTGAGTGGTTTAGGTCAAGATTGTGAAATTTTCAAGTAGCGCAGAATCGTAGCTGCCCTCATGTTCTTGTGGTGTAAATGCTTAGTAGTATTTGTGTTCTCGGTCTTATCAGGGCGATATGTCTTATTGAGAGTACGTCTCAGGATTAGTACGGTTGTACTGAAAATTGAATACCGTGGAATGCTTGTTATCATTGCTTTAATAACAGTAACATACTGTTCATTAATTAAGCATACTTATCCTGTATTGTTGGAACACAGATTCTGCCTTGTAGAATTGGTCTTTTTAGGGTTTTCAGGTTTTGGATGACCTGAATGTTTCAGACCTGATTGAAGGTTCGGTTGGGGGTCCCTCTTTCTTTAGAGTTTATTTATTTATTTTAATTTATGCATGTGTTCTCCAATCTTATCCGAATTGCTTCTTATGATTTTTGTATATCCTACTCTGTGGGTCTTTAAAGATTTGTTTTGCTGCTAGTTGTATTTTAGTCAATTCCAGAATTTACTGCAGATTAATGACTGCTATGGATGAATACAAAATGATGAGTTCCTTTCATCCTATGGTGTATCTTATGGTTTTGGGTGTGTATTTTGCAGGATCCGTCGGTGCCAACGAATTCATGGCCCACTCCAAGGTTCGAACCTGAAGTAGAAACACAACCATCCCAGTCTAAAACGGATTTATTTTTTTTTGACCAAGCCCTTGTGTCACCTCCACCATCACCATCTCCACCACAACGTGTACCTATTGCAAATCCTACGGGTGGTATCGAAGATAAGCCTGTTCTATTGTATAAGCTTGTCAATCACCCACTTTTCTCCGGAGGTTCTCCGACGGGGCCGCAAGAGCTACCTCCCTCACTAGACGCTTCTGGTGCTTTGGCAGCTTGCAAGGGCATCGTCAACAATGGTTTTAGTGTCGAGTCTGGCCTTGCTTCCTCCGATTTAGCTAATTCTTCTTCCACATGGACTGACCTCTTTGAAGGTAGCCCAGTACACTTTCTAGTTTGTAGATGTGGGAATTTCAAGATTCTTGGTGCTCAGGCCCTCTCTGGCCTGGTTCTTTTGATGAAACTGATTCTTACTTGTTAGACTTCAGCTTGTATATTGGGAGTATTTAACTGTGAATGGAAAATAGCTTTGCCTATAGTTGGTGACTCAAGGTTGATAGGAGCACTTTTGAGTGTTCAGCTGGGTTGACTGCAGTTTTTTTTGTTTGTTTTCTTTTTCTTTTTCTTTTTTAAAAAGTGGTTTATCAGTGTTAGCTGTTGGAGCATGGCACTAGTTGGGAGCTGGATCGTCTGTTTCTTTTCTCTGTACACGTCTTTACAGTATTCATCAGATCATATCAGGATTGTTTTCCTGCATTTTCGCTAATGCTGTCGATAATTAGTCTCTAAACTCGTGACTTATTTATTTATTTCTTTATTTCTTTCTTTTGGTGTATGTGTAGCTCTTGATCTTCAGAGTAAGAAGCCATCGTTGCCAACAAGGAGGCTTCAAAGGACCTCATCGTGTTCTTCATTACCCCGGGTGGCTTCGTCAATGGTCGACACCTCAATGGAAGAAGAGATCGACGCTCAACCTGGCGGTCAGCTGACAGTTATTCCCCATTCCTCTTCTACTTCAGTTGTCCCAGCTGCCAGCAATCTTGATGAATCCTTTCCTAGTTCGCACAGATCTTTTTTAGGAGCAGATTCCAGACACGAAATGGCAGATAATGTTGACGCAATGGACTTAATGGAAGAGACTACGGCTGGAGATGGAGTTGCAACTGGATCCGGTACCCAGTTTGGAAGTCCAATTCCAACTTATGGATCGACACAGTGGGAACCGTGTGACGTGTTCAAAGCACCGTACTCCAAGGTGATGTGGTCGCATTGAAGCTTACGAAGCACCTGCTTCTCTACCTTTCGGATCATTACACAAATTTGTTTCAGTGTCGATGATAGTTGGGACAAGCTTGTGGACAAGTCTGTCCGAGGTCGTGTAGACTTTCAATCTAGGGTCTCTATTATGTCACAGAAACCTTGTCACTTCAGCCTACGGTGTTTGGTAGGTGGCGATGACGAAGTGACTGCTGATCTGAAGGTACTCAGCTCTGTGTTGTGTAACATGTTAAATTTTACCTTGACGACCTTCTAAAGGACCTCGTGAGTTATCCGATTTTGTTCTGCGTTTTCTTCTCATGCAATTATCATCTAGTGAAGAGTATTCTATTTTGTTTTATTAAATAATTATACCAACACCAAAAAGGTAATTGTTATGAAAAGTGTTAGTTGATTTTTCTTTTTAAATACATAGGTTTTTCTATTCTCAAATTGGAAAAGTAACCATAAAGATTGAATCATAGAAGTAAGATGATTTGATTTAAGATTGATTTAATGTTTCTCTCTATATATTTACCAATATTTTCATATTTTTATATAAAAACATATACTTAAAATATAGTGTTTTATAGTTAAAATCATGACATTATAGTTTTTAAATTAAAGACATCACTAAGGCCATAACTTCATTTTTTAAGGTGCTTCAAGATTTTGAAGTTTTTTAATTGTTTATGTAAATTAAGTCATATTATAGCCATTGTTACTTTTGTTTCTTTTATAAAACTACTTTGATTTTTAATCTTTCTAGCTTTAATTAGTTAATATGAGTTGCTATTAAGTTTTTAGTATATTAATCATATAAATGTAATGGTTTTTTTTCTATTTATTATTTAATTTGTAACTTTTTATTTCATGTAATTTATGAATATAAAATCTAATTATACAAATAATAATTTGATAATTATTAATTATTTATATATTTATATATTTATAAAAATTTATATAAACACATAAGCAATGAATTTAATAAATAAAGAAATAATCATTTATGTAAAAAAAATCAGCATTTTAATTATGATTTTGTATAAGAAAAATTACTAGATTTTTCTTTTTCTTCTTCTTTTTAAGTGTTATGAAAATAAGATAGATTGATTTGAGACTTGGATGGATTAATTTAATATTCTTCATATATATATATATATATATAAAGAAAAAAAATATTGCTATTTCAACCTATTACAATCACATTAATGTTTGCATAGATTAGTCAATAGAATATTATATACTTATTAATTATTTTTTAAAAATATATTTAATTATTATACCACTATGTAAATATTAAAATAAAAAAGTAGATGCTTAAATATAAATGATTTAATGACATCAATTTAATCATACTTATATACCACCATTAGTTCTATCTATTATTATATTTAATTATTTATATAATAGAATTTGAAGAAAAATAATTGGCAAACAAATTCAACTTAAGTCAAATATTTATATTCTCTCCATTTGCATAATACCACCTTATTTACTTAAAGATTGTAATTCTTAGGTTGGATTTGTTTGTATATATTATATATTTTTTTAATTAAAAAAAATAAAAATTGTGCAAAAAAGTAAAACAAAAAAAAACCAAGAATACAAATTAATAAAACAATAAAAAGAATGAATAAATCCTTATACAAACAAAAAAAAATTCTAATGTATTCAAAGTTAGTGAATTAATTTGGCAAAGAATAATTCTACATACATATTCAATTAATAAGAATATATATATATATATATATATATATATATATATATATTATTTTCATACACTCATACATACATTATGCCATGTATGATACAAGTAGCAATTGGCCAAATCCTAAAACAAGCACTGTAGGTGACAAACCATAATAAAGCTTTCAATGTCATTAATATATATATATATATATATATATATATATTTATTTATTCCAATAATTACCTATATGATTAAGTAGAAGTAGATAAAAATAGATTAATTTCATAATATCTTTTAGATAAGCTTTTTAGAAGCTTTATAGATATTGCTTTGACTTTATACATGTTTGTAGTTAATAAATAGGCTAGAAACTTAATTTACAAGTTAGGCACATGTCACATATGTTAGTAGCTAGTGGAACAAGCTAACTATGTGGTACACATATAGATAACTTGTCTTACAAGTTAAGACATATGTCTAACAAAGCCAACACATATTGGAGGTCCTATAGAATATCGCCACATAGCTTCTAGTTAGATAATATATATGGAGGTAAGAGTGAAGCCTTCTTCACTCTTGTCAATGCCTTTCTAGTCTTTGGTCTGATTTCAAGACTTTTTAGTCTTCTTGTCTTTAGCAATAGCCATTCTTGTTTAATATTATATCATTTTTGAGGGATTTTTTAGCCTTTTCAAGTAATAGAAGAGTGCATTGGGATTTTTTTTTATTTTATTTTTTTAAGATTCATATTCTTGATAATTTTACAAGAGTGTTAACTTGTTGTTTTTTTCTTGTTTTAGAAGTGAATGGATTACTTCACTTCTATTAATGTATTTTGAAGGTTGCGGATTATTCACCTTTAAATAAATAATTTAATTTTTTAACAATGATTTTTTCCTTAAAGAGAGTGGATTATTTGTCTTTTTAGATTTTTATTTGATATTAGAGGTTGTGGATTATCCTCTTCTAATTTAATTTTTTTGAATTTATTTGAGTTATATATAGAAGGAAATACTATGGATGCTAATTTCAATAGAAGTGGAAATAGATTTACAAGTTTTGCAGATCTTCATGAGCTTGTCAATACTCTAAGGGTAAAAATCTCACATAATTTTAACATGAATCATGGAAGTACTATTCCTACACATATAGAAGAAGTCCTAAGTCTATACCAAAAAATTATGGAGTTGAAAGAAACAAGTAATTCAGTCTCAGAACCAAATCCAAGAAGTCTTCTTTCTACAAACATAAAAAAGGGAAGGATTAATATACCTAAGAAGTTTGATGGAACAAGATCCAAATTTCAAAGTTTTTTGTAATAAATTAAGCTATATTTAAAGTTGCATCCTTTTTAATATCTTGATGGATTTAATCAAGTTAGATTCATAGGTTCATTTCTATGAGAAAGTACTTTCTCATGATTGGTACCTTTGATAGAAAAAAAATTCATAACTATTTTATGATTTGAATTCATTCTTGGAAGTATTTACAGTTATATTTAGAGAAAGTGATCAAGAAAGAGTAGTAAAAACCAAGCTCGTATCATTACAATAAGGATCATGTTTAGCCACCACATATGCTTTGAATTCCAAAATCTTATTTGCTACATGGATTGAAATGATAAAGTCTTTATCAATCAATTTCAATATGGATTAAAAGATAATATCAAAGATTTATTGTTGACAATACTAAGAGTAGATTCATTGAAGCAATTTATTGCTAAAACCATTGCATATGACAATCGATTCTTTAAAAGATGCCATGAATAAAAATTTGATTGGAGAAATATAAGTTAAGCCATAGTAATACATTTTTAAAGCTCACTTGTCTAAGCCAGAGCCTATTCAAATTGACACAACACATTTTAAATCTTATACTAAGCAAGAAAAGACTCATTGTCAAGAAGTTTTATGCCTATATTATGGAAAATCCAAGTACATTACTCAACATTGTCCAAAAAAGCAATGCAATCACAAAATGAGAAGGATGGTTTCCAAAAAGGACAATGTGTCAAAAAACAAGTTTTTTTAGCTACAATAAGGACCATGTAGATGAAATCTTGCATAACCTTTAGTAAAGGTCTTATTCTCTCCTCAGATCCCTCATCTTGTTTTATAATAGAAATTTATTTAGGACCAAAAAATCACAAAGTCTTAGCCTTGTTAGATATAGGAATTTTAGCTTGTTGTATAGACAAAGATTTTGTCAAAAAACAAGATATATTTTTAATTAAAAAAATAAAACTTGTGCATGTAGAAGTAATAGATGGATGTTTGTTGTCTTTTGGAAATGTTACGTATGAAATTGTTTCTTTAGAAGTAATAAATAATAGTCATAATAATTTGGTAATATTTAATGTGATTAGATCTTTCTCTAATTTAATTATTTTAGGATTTTGTAGCTAAAAAGATATAACCTTGAGATAGATTGAATTTCTTGTAACCTTGATTTTTTCTATAGTTTAATGCAAGATTTTGCTAAGCAAGTAGAAATCCATAAGATTGATACATCCAAACTATTATTGATATGTACAAGAAGTTTCATACATATTGTAAAAGAATGATTAACTTTTGCTATATGTGCCATATTTATTGTTGATGGAGAAAAGATTTCAAGTGGCATTCCAAGCCAATACTAAGTTTATCAAGGTGTTTTTGAAAAGTAAGATATATAGATATTCTTTTAAGGCATCATCATTATGATTATTCCATCAATTTTCAAATAGGAGCTCAACCACCATTTAGACCAATCTATAGTCTATCACAAAACAAGTTGGCTGCACTTAAGGAGTACATTGATGAGAATTTGGCTAAGAACTTGATATGCCATTGTAAGCTAAAATAAACCTCTATTAGTTGGAAGTTTATTCTAGCTCACAAAAAGTGAATTAATTAAGTAAATTTTAGAATTTATAATTATTAATTAAATCCTAATCAATTCATTCTTATTTGCCTTAAGTAATCCACTCAATGAAGCCAAAACTCTATTACCAACTCATACTTATAATTAACCAATTACTTAACAACTTCCATAAAAAAAATCTTATTAATATAATTTTATTTTATTTTTAATTAAATTAAAATTTATCTATTGAAAAAAAATCATCTTTGAATAATAATTCATCCAAGTATAATATCTCATCCAAATATGAGAATTCATCTAAATAATTTTTAGTTAATTTTGCATTTTTCATTCAACCTTGATTGTTTATCCAAACTAACCTAATTCAGCCCTAAACCTAACTTCATCCTAGTCTAATTTTCCATCCCTCTAAATTGACCTCCTTGTTCTTACTGAGAGGAGGGTGATGCGGCTTCAGACAAGCTTCCCTGCTTCACAGCAATGACTGTGGTGATCTTCGAATTTTTCTCCTCCACCAATGATCGCTAATCTCTGCTGGGCTCCTTGCGCTCCACTCTCAAACCGCAACTTTGATTCCTCAACTAGTGGTAGCTCTTCAACTTCTAGATTGATTGAACATGAATAGATCCCAGTGACTAGATCATATATTGAGGCAGTAACTAGTACGCGCTAGATCCTTCGATCGATTGGGATAGTCTCAACGCCTCCTAGATCTATGGACTTGATATTGGCAATTGTATATGCAGCATCGATTTCCTCAATTCACTCGATTTTGTTGTAGCTTACAAAAAACAAAACACTCTTGTATGTATGTACGGCAGTGCTAGCAAAATTGCCCAGAGCACCATTGTGGGAACTCTTCTAGCTCACTTCCAGCGATCGATACACACCAACGGTTCGTCGCAAGGAAAAAAACACCAAAAAAACCAGAATCCCTTGGCTTTCACCTGCTCCACAACAATCAATGAATTCAGGGGGATAATATAACAACTGCTTGACAATTCTCTACGTAAGCAATTCCACCATCAACCGCACCGCAGTTGATGAGGCGGCGGCTTTCGCGAGCAACACACACTTGAGGCCAAGGAAAACAGGGATTTTTTGCATATGCAAGCTCTGGCCGCAATCCACCATTGCAATAGTCGACCAATCGCCTCAACTAGAGAATTACAAACAACCCCTACTGCCACTGACGGAAATAGAGAATTACAAACATCAATCGCCGCAGACAACAATCATCTCCACTGCAGGACCAAATTCGGAAGACGTCGCCGCTCTTTGCCACTTGTATTGCAGCTTCAGCACTTCCACCGTCGCATCCCCACTTCAACAATAGCGAGATTACCAGCAGCGCTGCCGTTTCAGTAAACGACTAGAAAGGACTAACCGTCTTTCAATCAACTATAACTAATAATAATAACATTAGGGAGGGAAAACAAAGGGCCATCGTAGGTGACACTCCCTTGCATGAACTGAAAGATGAACCAAAAATTGAAGGAGATCATTTCAATGCTCCACTACTACCGATGACGAGCAGGAAAGTAGAATCAATGAATAGTGCCACAACAACTAAAAATTATAACTCTAGATTCCCACAACTCCACAAAAGAAAAGCAGGGTAACAATTGTCAAGGAAGTATAATTCGGCAAATGACGATAAGAGGTGCAGGAAATGGCAGCTTGGTCCCGCTCTCTTCAGGTGTAGTTTCAAACCCGTCGAAGCAAAGAGCCTCGAGAACAGGAAACCGCCACAATCGCAAGGCTGCAGAGATCAGTAATCAGCTCAATAGGAAAGACTTATGACGACACTACCGCCAACTTGCTGGAAACAATACAAGCCGCACCACAGCGCCAAGTATGTAGACTGTACCTTTGCTAGATAAGGTAGTAGATTCCTGTAGCCAACAACACCATCATAAGCTAAAGTCGTTTTTTTTTTTGTTTTTTTGTTTTTTTGTTTTTCTCTTCTTTCCTACTCTATTTTTTTAGTTTTTCTTTCTCTTCCTATTCTTTCTTTTTGATTTTTCTTTTTTCTCTTCTTTACTCTTTTTTTTTTTGCTTTTCCTTTCTTTCCCTACTCTCAACCTTTTCTATTCTATACTATTGTTTTTCTTCTATTTTATTTGTTTAAACCTATCAAGATGTTTTATTTTATTTTATCTTTTATTTTTGGATTGTGTTAGATCAAAGATTCGATTTAAATTCTAGTCCAATCAAACATTTGATGGAGACAAGTCTACTATTAAAAATCATAAATTCTATTGGATAATCTAAAAAAAAGATATATAATTTAAAATCCTTTCTCAAAAACAACTCTATATGAGATCCATTCTTACAACTAATATTCTATTTTATTTTTCTATTTATCTCAAAACTCTTATACTAATTTACTAAAATAGTGATTTGAAACACTATGTGTAATTTTTTTAGTAAAATTCATTAGTGAGTCAATTTTGTGACTCACAACCATTCTAAATTTTCAACCAAGACTCCTATCTTATTTGTGAAGAAAAAAGATGGATCTTTGCAGATGTATATAGACTATAGAGGATCTAACAAGATCACTATTAAGAATAGGTATCCTCTACATTTGATTTCAATACTTCTTCATCAACTGAATCAAACAAAGATTTATACAAAAATAAATCTACAAAGAGCACACAATCAAAGATACATTAAAGAGAGAGATGAATAGAAAACTACGTTTTGAACTAGAAATGGGAATTTTAAATATAATGTCATGCCTTTTGAACTCACAAATGCATCAATTGAAATATAAAAAAGTATATATTTCACACTATTCAAATTGACTTCCTAAGATACATCATTTCAAACGATGGTCTTATGATGGATCTTAAGTAGGTCCAAACTATTATAGATTGGAAGATTTCAAAAATAATTAGAGACATGCAATATTTTTTGAAATTTACCAATTATTATAAAATCTTTATTAAGATTTTTTTTAAAGTTGTAACTTTTCTTATATGTGTGACATGTAAAAAAAAACTTAAGTGAAGCAATGAAGCTAAAATAACTTTTGAAGTGTTAAAGACATCATTTATTTTTACACCAATCTTGTATTTCATATATTTTTTTAAGATGTTTTTTATAAAAAAAGATGCATCAGGCTTTGCAATAGGTGTTGTTTTGTCACAAATAGGACAAAAGACAAGCTTTGCTTCATAGCTTTCTAATCCAAGAAATTTTCAACAATCGAGAATAATTATGAAATCCACAACAAAGATTTCTTTGCAATTATGGATTCATTTTAAGAATGACATCATTATTTAAAAAGTACCTTGAATCCAAACATAATATATATAAATTACAAGAACCTTGAATATTTCATATTGATATATATTTTGAATTGTCTCCAAGTCTGTTATAATATGTCTTTATTAAAATTTGATTTTAAGATTATTTATTGATCCAAAAACAACAAGATTTATTAGACATTTTTTTTAGACATTTCTATTTTGGACCAAAAATAAGAGATGCATCTTTTCATCAACAAAGATAATTTTCGTCAACAAGAATGATTTTCTTGAAGTCGGAATATTTTTACCTTTGAGCAATAAAATAAACATTGATTGTTGATTTAATTTTTTTCAAGCAAATTCAATTGAGTATATTCTCTAATCTTCTTATTCTTGATATTAAGAATAATTCTTTCAAATCTCATGATTCTTCTAAATTCAAATTCAAATTCAAAAATCATTTATTCTATTTTGAGGGACAATTATATATTTCAGAAGACAAAGCATGATTATGTGTTTTTCAAGTTCATCATGACTTTTTAAAAATCAAATATCTTTGATACAATAAGACTTTGAACCTAATACCTAGAAATTTTTGGTGGCTCCAAATGTAGAAGGCAGCCAAAGACTTTGTACAATCATAGAATATTCGTTCTAAATTTAAAATTCTTCATCATCAACTTTATAGACTTTTTCAGCTATTATATATTTTGAAACAACTATAGTCTTTTGTTTCATGGATTTTATCATGGATCTTTCAGTTTTAGATTCATATGATTCTATATTAATAATAATAGATCATTTTACCAAGATAGTACATTTTGTATTATGTACAAAATCTATCACAAGTAAAAAAATGGCTAAGTTTTTTTAATAACATCTATTGCTATCATAGATTGCATAAGAATATTATATCAAATAAGGAGATTTATTTTATATCAAGATTTTGGAGAACCCTTTTCAAGATTCTAAAGGTGGATATAAAACTCTCTTTGGTTTTTTATCTACAAATTGATGAACAAACAAAATTTATAAATCAAATTTTGGAGCAATATTTGAGATGTATCATCAAAAAATATTTGTTGATGATATACTTCAAATACATATAAGACAATGAAAATATTCATTGTCATATATGAAATAATATCTGAGTTGTATCATCAAAAAATATTCATTTGTCTTCTTCACAAGATATTCCTGAGATATTCATTGTCTTATATTGTTTTGGAGCAATATTTGAGATATATCATCAAAAGAGTTGTTCAATTATCTTTTTAAGCTAAAGTAACTCAAAAAACTATTTCAATATTAACATATTTTGGAAAGAATGGTATATTATAGATGAATTGTAGTGAATAATGACACGTGTTTTGTATAATAAATAAAGTTCTCCTTTATAGCTACCAAATGAGCCCAGGTTAAAAAGAATCTATTAGGTAATTGTGGAGCTATTACCAATCTAATTTAAAGTAGTATTAAAACAATTTTTTGAGTGTGGTGTCTAATCTTTGAATTCTATCAATTACTCAACACTAGAGCATTCTATCATCATCAAATTTACTATGATAATATTATTACTAATCTAATGATATCATTAATATTTATTAATAGTTATAAAAGTATCATTCTTAATTACAATTCTTGGCATGGACATATTCCAAATTATCACATTTTAGGACCTTCTAAAATCTTCTACAAATTTTTAGAATCTCTACATACTTGCAAAATCTTCCACAATCTTTTAGAAAATTCCATAAGCTTCTTAAAGCCTCTTTAGACTTCTAAAAGCTTCTTTAGATTTCTAAAAACTTCCATAAAAAATACCATTGACTTCTATAATCTTCATTATAGTATAAATAGGAGTCTTTGGAACCACTTTTCTTATCAATTTCATTCTTTGTCTTTAATTTTGATATGTTTCTTTATCAAATTCTTGGGTCTTTGATAATTCCTTGAAGAACTATGAGACCCATTCTCCACTCTCTCTAAGACAACATCACCCCTGCTCTTCTTCATTCTTAAAAATCTTATAGCCAAATTGCTTCTAAACTTGATTATAGTAAAGCTAGTATCTCTAGGCCAATAAAAAAAATCACTTTTAATAGGAAGAACCTTATATTAATCAGATTAAAGAAGCTCACTATAATAGATATAAAGACAATCATTTACCAAATCAATATTAGGAAGGCTAAAAATATTATTGTAGTTGCTAAAAATCTTAATAATATTATCAATAATCTTATGTGAATCCAAACCATTCAAAATGTTCTCAAAAAATGGAATATGAAACCTATGGTGAAGAAAAAAAAAAACTACTATTATCTACTTATTATTGAAAATAAAACTTGGATTTTGTTATGAAGTATAAGAAATAGACTATGGAGGATTGAAAGAAGATTATTTGGTCAAGTGAGACAAAAATCAACAGATTTGGATGAGATCGCAAAAAGTGGGTGTAAAAACAAAACGGTAAATTTTTACTTAACAAAAAGATCCAAAAAATAATTAAGCATGGAGGTAGAAATATAATGGTATGGGGTTGTAAAAGATGGAATAGAATTGAGAGGATGGCAAAAGTTGAGGAAAGAATAGATGCCAAGCAATTTGTGGAAATTTTTGAAAAAAATCTGCTCTCTAGTATTGAAGAATTAGGCATTTCTAAGGAGGAGGTGATTTTTCAACAAGATAATAATCCCAAGAATAACTCAAAATTAGCATGATAATGGTTTAACTATCATGAAATTAAAGTAATAGATTGGCTTACTTAGTCTTCTGATCTTAGATCCATTGAACATCTTTAGGAGTACATCAAATGTCAGCTCAACACCTAGAAGATAAAACCAAAGGAAGTTTGAGAATTATGGAAAAGAATAGCTACAGAATGGAATAATATTGAAGCAGATTTGTACCAAAAGTTAATAGAAAGTATGCCTAAGAGGTTGAAAGCAGTTATCAAGGCCAAAAGAGGTCCTAAAAAATATTAATATGTAATTGGATACTACATTCAAAAAAATATTTTAATATTGTTTCAAATTAGATTGGTCATAGTTTTACAATTATTTAATGGATTCTTTTCAATCTAATCCTATTTGGTAGCTGTAAAAGAATACTTTATTTGTTATATAAATCAAGTATTATTATTCATTATAATTCATCTATAATACACCATTCTTTCCAAAATATGTCAATATTGAAACAATTTTTTGAGTCAATATATATAAGACAATGAATATCTTAAGAAGAAGATAAATGCCACCTCTTCCTACAAAATTGGATAATAATCAAGAGTTCAATTATTGAATGCACATGGGAGCCAAAAAAGAATCTTATAAATATGAAATATAAATTTGAGGCTTTTCATTGACGACATCAATCTAAACCAAGATGAAGTATAACAAAACTTTGCTATGAAAGAAACAAGATGCAAAGAAGATAGCATTATATCTTCTATCCTTGTTTGTAGCTTATGTATATTTGTAGCGTTAAGAAAATAAAGAACTAACAATTAGTAGATTAAACTCAAGAGCTATGATTTGCTGACTTATCAAACAAGACATTACAATTGTCACAACCTTGAAG